AGGCTTAAACCCGATTTTTAGGTACCTACACGCATTTCCGACGTTGGGTAGAATTTTACAAGTAATTGAAGAATTGTAAACGTAATTATGAGCTGGTTTCACAACGTTTTTACTATGACCGCGTCGTAAGATTAACAGAAACTTTATTTCTTGTCTTCGTTATAGCTTTTCTTAGAATTGTTTCTACAGCTTAAGCAAACGTTAACAAAATCTTTCTAGTATGTGAGTTATAGCACTCTTCTTTCCACAGACAATTTCAGAATAAAATTGAATTAAATCTGTTTTTCATTCTCATAATAAAATAAGAATAACAAACAAAATCCAAAATGTCCAGTTTTGAAAGTGTTTGCTAATAACATAAGCGTTAGTTATGCTATTAGCAATATAGACATTTTGTTGTTTCGTTTCTACCGGCAATTAATGTTATAAATACAGTAATGAAATAATTCCCTGTAACAAAACAAAACAACACGTGCATTTGTTTCAAACTCGACGTCACGTAAGCAAGGTGCGTTGGTGGGGGTAACGTTTAAAAGCGATGGAGGCGCATCATTTTGCGCATTCTGGTTTCGAACTCTGTTGAGTAGAGATCTCTTAAAATCATAAGCTATTTTGAATTTACGTTAAACAATATTGAAGTATCGCGAATTTATATTTTTTATTATATTCTGTAAAAATATTGTCAAAGCGAGATGGATATTTCTTCTTCCTTTTGGGACAGTTCAGAGCGTCCACCATGTCGCTGTGAATTTGTAAGTATTTTGAAACTGCATATATAACGAGATTCCATCATACTTTGTTATTTTTTTTTTAATTACATACCTTTCACTCGGTTTTCAGTCTGATACTTATATCCTCCTCTGTTGTGGATTATTTTATTTTATTGCAGTTTTGACTATATTCTCAATTTTTTACAGGTGTACCGCTGGTGGAGTGACCACCAAATTTATTTTCAACAACATCTGACATCGGATCCATTCCCTGACACATATTTGGATGAAGATGAATATGAGTTCGTGCAATATAGATCATCACAATCATGTGATGATCTAACTCATTCATATTATGGCCCATCACCATCATACTTTGAACCACATCGGCCACAGTATGAACCATGGCCGTCATATTGCGAATTAATACCGTCACATCCAAAAATAGAGCCTGTTCAGTATGAAGCACCGCGCGCACGAAGACTTGGATCCCACAGATATCAAGATGTTTATTATGTCAACGTTGTATTGCCAATCACGATGCCAGCAAATTGTAAAATACCACTGCCCAATAAATAAATTGTTTTAATTTTATTCACATACTTTTATTTTAAATATCCTGTTTTTGTCTTATAATATTTTTTTATTCTTTATTTTATTCAGGTAAAACCTTGTTTTTAGTAAGTTTGTGCTAGTAACTCAGCTCAACTTTAATTCTATGCAAAAAGTAAATAGGTTAATAATTTATTTAAACAATTGTACATAGTAGTAGCAAAATGAATACATATACAAATAAGTCCATAATATAGATTTTGCAAAGCATACAGGATTTCAAAATCAGTAACGTTCATTGAAAAGGTAAAGTTTTTTTTGTGAGGGGAAAATCCTCAAATTATTTTTTGTTTGATGTGTCTTCTTCTTCTTCTGTCACTTACTGACTAAAAACCTGGGGTTTTGTTCTTTCTCCTGTTCTGGGCCGAGGTCGCGGTGCCTCATTGCAATTACCCCGCAACCCCGGCTGAACATGTGCCCTATAATAGAGCCCCGTCTGTGAAAAGGTGAAAATGGGTAAAACAACACCTGACCTGACTGACAGTCATAATTTGGCCAATATAGTCAGTAAAATCGTCAATGAAGAAGTGATTCTCCTCCAATAATGATATGCTAAATGCATAGTTCTGATGTCAAGAAATCATTTCATTCTATAAAAAATACAGAAAGACTTTTATGGTTGTGTGAGTTCGTGATATGACTGAATTGTTGTTAGTTACAATCGGTGAGATTTAATAAATTTATTAAATTTAATGTCTTGCTGACTTCTTTTACTGGGTATTGCCTGCAACTAACGCCGCTCACAAATAAGAATCCCGTTGTGACTTCAATACGAATACTGAACGAATGTCTTAAGTAGACATTCGTTCAGTAAATCTACGTCGTTATCCAAACTAATATTATAAATGCGAAAGTAACTCTGTTTGTCTGTCTATCTTTTCTTCACGCCTAAACTATTGATCTGATTTCTTTAAAATTTGGTACAGACATAGATCGGAACTTGAGAAAGGACATAGGATAGTTTTTAAAACCAAAAATCTGCAGGAAGTCACTATTCCACGCGAACGGATTCGCGGGCAAAAGCTAGTTTTCTATAAATATAAGAACATTACTATACTAAACGACTGAAAAGGTCTATAATATGAGTGCATAGCTCAACATCATTACTTAATAGTATGACTTCGACGTCCAAAACTGGTTTGCGGTGTCGATCTATTTGCCGCATGCACCACTCGTCATGTCAGATCCATGTTCACTCTTTTTATGCACGTATGACTGAAATGGGGCAGATACTTCGGAAAAAATAAAATAATCTATAATTGAGTATACTATTTAATTGATATTATGTTGAAGCACGAAAATAATATAAAATAAATTTTCAAAATTTTTGTTGTATAAAATCATATCCAGAGTAACTATCAATAATTTATTTACTAAAATTTATAGCATTTTACTTAAAACAAAAAAAGCATTTTACTTAAACAAGCGTAAAGTTTAAATTACCTGTAGAATTCCACCAGACGACATAAATACTTGTACCTAGAAAACGGGCTTAAATCCTTTATTATTATTATTATTTCTAAGAAATCACCAAATGATCTCGAGCAAGCTCGGTGATTACCTGCCATCTTTATCACTTTTCTTCATCTGTTTTGTTGCTGCATGAAGTAAAATCCATTACATGTGATAGTTTTATTATCTTACTACCATTGTCACTTAAAATTCAAATATTAATTACACAAAACACACAGTACAAAAAAAAAACCATTTTAGAGTTAAAGAAAAGTTCCTCATTGTTCACAAACAGCATAAAATATTATATTCATTGATTACATTGTCTAAGAAAGTAACCAGAACTTGGTTAATTTTTTTTGTCGGAGGAAAATCATTAAAGGATATATGTTACTCCTACCCTGCAACCCCAGCTAAAGATCAGCCTTGTAGGGCCCCGTGTGTGGTGGTCTTTTGGCTCTTTCAGGGCGCGCGGAATTCTACGCGGCCTACGCTCGGGTCTGTAGGCATACCATGACCTGTTAAAGCGCCAATTTTCCGGGCGAGAAAGAGGGATTGTGCTTAAGGTTGCCGGAGATCGTCCGGTCATCCACGACGCCTGTAGTGTCGCCTTTTGCGGTGGCTGAGGCGTGAGGAGGAGGATTGCTCCCTCACGTGGGCCGCCTCCCTCTTTGCGAACATAACTGCTTCACAGAAGGAGGAGACGGCGTCCCAGTTCCTCTCGCTCCGCACCATGGCCTCGACTAAGGCCGGGCGCGAGAGGTCGCCGCCGCCGATCACTTTCCTGAGGACACGGCGGCGCTCAGCCAAGGCACCGTACCGTATGCTTCACCATATCCTCTAGATGGTCCTCGCAATAACGACATTCAGGCGTTTTCTCCCGCTAGATCCGAAACAGGAACCTACCGAAGCTGCCGTGCCCGGTAAGGACCGTGTCAGCCGGAAGGTGAGGACGCCGTGGCGGCTCTTAGGCCACTCATCAAAGAGGGTTCTTACTTACCGCTGCTATAATATCGTGCCCGGCCCTCGGTTCCGATAGTCGCTGCTTCCACTCAGCCGCCTGAGATCTCGCCGGAGCTCATTCCGCCACGCACTTAAAGTCAAAGTCAAAGTCAAAATCATTTACTCAAACTAAGCCATAAATAGGTACTTTTGAAACGTCAAAATAGAAGAGTAGTCTGTCAGTCTGTTCGTCAGTGAAGCTAGGTGCTCATTCCAAATTGTAGATTCGAATGGAGAAGAACGAGCAAGAAACTCCATCATTACTCTTTTTTAAAAAATATGTATCTTTTACAATTTCACTAATATACCATTTAGTATACATTATTGTACCCTTAAATTATTTGGCGCGGCAGAGGATCCTCGGCCCAGCAACGCGCGTCTGTAACTGTAGACGCGCGCGAGCGCCTTCGCTTTCAGATTCCACGGCGGTGATCCGTCTAGGAGGTTCGCCGCCTCCCCAAAGATCGTGCGATACCCGCTATTTATTCGGATAGCCATGACCCTCTGTAACGCGATCAGCATACGAGCTGGTCGCCGCCTTAAGTCCGGCGCCCACACAGGGGCCCCGTAGAGGGCCATAGATCGCACAATCCCCATATACAACCTCCAGTAGGAGGCGTTTGCCCTCCCGAGGTTGGAAAGGAGCCGCTTGAGCGCGGCCCCAGTCCGTTCCAACTTAGGAGCCAAACGACGGAAATGCTCCGTGAATTTCCACCGGCTGTCGAGGACGAGACCCGGGTACTTCATCGCCGACTCGACGCCGATGGTCTCCTGCCGTTATTTGGGACCAATGGTTGCATGTTGGCGAGCTTCCAGGACTTTGGCACAATACCAGTCCTAAATGAGAGACGATACAGGCGCGTCAATACAGGAGACAACTCGGGCGCACAAGCCTTGAGAACTATCGCTGGTATACCATCCGGCCCACTAGCTTTATTCACGTCTAGTCTAGATGACACAGTGCTCTCAGAAGTTTCTTTAATAAGTATATTACAAAATGGAGAAAGGAGGAAACAAAAATTTAAAAACAGTGTGTGAATTTGATTTTAAACGATTTATTTTATTAAAATAACATAATATAATCACTGGCGAAATAAATTTCACAACGCAAACGCAACGGAAAAAGTGACGCTGAATTTTCCGGTAATTATATTATAATTACCGGAAAATTCAGCGTCACTTTTTCCGGAGTTATTTTTGTCCTCATAGTCTTACCGTAACTTGTTAATAATGCCTATTGTATCCTGGCACTATACCACACTGGAAGGCCGCTGGCCCGTAATATAAGGGCATTGGCGCGTAGTAAGGAGGCATTGGCTTGTAATATTGAGACTGTGTTCCATAATATGAAGGTACTGGTTTCATATCGGCGGTCTGAAGTCCGAAGTGTGGTTGTTGCGAATAATACTGTTGACTCATATATGGGGCTTGATGTGCTAAATAGGATGACCCTGCTTCTGAATATTCGGGCTGTTGTACAAATGTTGCTGCTGAAGAGATTGCCTCTTCTCCAAAGTATGGATACGCTTCCTCAAACGTTTGGTTTTCTTCGTTCAAAGATTGGGGTTCTAGTTCAAAAGCTTGGATTTCTTCTTTAGAGGACTTTGACTCTTTTTTAGAATACTCTATCTTTTCTTTAGAAGATACTGTCTCTTCTTCAGAAGATCCTCGCTTTTCATCATTAGATTCTGTCTGTATTTCAAAAGGCTCTGATTCTTTTTCAGACGTATCTGAATCTTCTTCCGAATACTCTAACTCTTCTCCAAAATATTCTGACTCTTCATCAGAATATTCCGATTCTTCTACAAAAAAGGCTGGATCTAGTTTAAACAGCTTAGGTTCATAAAACAGCGGTGTTGTTCTGTAGTTGACAGCTTTCTTTTTCCTCTGTATTGTAGCAGCTCCACAGTGCGTGACGGCTGGCTGATCTTCTCCCGAATACATAACTGGTTTTGAACAGTTAAGATTGAGGTTGTAGGTGAGTTCTGGGTTATCAAAATATATTTGATGCTTCTCCACCCAGTCGTAAACCTGCAAATAAATTATTTGTTAGAATTTTTACGTTTCATGGATAGTGTTTTTAACATTATCCTCAGACACATCACAGAACCGTTACTATTATTTAAATATGAATTAATTATTATTTCTTATTAAATAACAAAGGTACTTACAAATTCGCAGCGGCATGGTGGTTGTTCAGTATATGTATTCATTGCGTATCCTAGTTGTGGTGACGGTCACAAGAGAAATTATAAAATATTTGACGATACCTCGGTATTTATACGAACTCATTAACTTCTTACCATTGTCATTGATGGTGTTACATTAACAAATGGTAATTATATCATGCAATAAATAATGTGCTTACTAACTGACTGCTATATTCATTACTAATTGAACTTAATGTAAGTATGGTTAAAATTCCTGGATTACTTGAACCATTACCATGAAGTCTTTATTTACCTCTATGAGCCCAATACACCCATGTATTGTGTTACAGGTGTTTCGCCGTGTGAATGAGATTCATCGACCCCAAAACCTTTCTCTCCCCCATCCTCCCATTGTTTTTAAGCGATAAGACCGCCAATTGTACTATCTTTTGTGTTTTTGTTTTCTATGTTTTTTTTATTATTATTGTGTACAATATAGTATATTCATTCATTCCCTAATCCTTAAATATAGGAAGCTCTAATCCTCAAAAGGCCTACAATGCGCATACACCTTTTTTTGTGTGTTTGACGTCCCTGTATGTTTTCATTTTACATTTGCTTAGATTCCGGAATTTAGAGAAAAATGAATAGGAAGGCATATGGATAGTCACCACCGATAAAACCATTCTATCGATATTAGCTTTTTTCCCTTGAATAAAGTAGATCATCCCTAACGACAGCCATACCTACGCAACTTTACTTTGATCTGACCAATTGCAGCCGCGCGTTATTCCTCGTCCCGCGGCCCGCAGTGGTGAGTCGTGTTCTTAGAAGAAATCGGCCTACAAGCTCTCTAGTGGTTATATGCTCTTTGTTTAACGCTCTGCTTAGCAGTGGCCACTTGTAAGCTAGTGATGGATTTTCAGAGCTTAAGTAGTATCATTTAGTAGCTCAAACTATAGGAGTCCTACATGCATTCAGTACAGTTACAGTTTTCTTGTCGGTAAAATGATGACTCATTAACATTTAACCTGTTACCATTGTCATTGATGGTCTTACATTAGTAAATGGTAATTACATCATGCAATAAAATAATGATACCAATAATGTGCTTATTAACTAACTGATATATTCATTAATGAAGTTCTAATTAACCTTAATGTAAGTATAGCCAAAATTGCTAGATTGCTTAAACCAGTACCGGGAAGTATAAGCCAACTGAGTGAGATTACTCGAAGCCCAAACCAATAATGTGGACTTATAATTTCACTCGTTCGCTACCAATGTTTATGATGATAAATCTCAAACTTCAAATTATCAAGTTATACCCAACAAAAAGTTATAAAATCAATGCAACACAAAATTCGACTAATCGAATTTATTTATTCATCCATGACGACGAAAAATGTTAGCATCCTTTTAAATAAAACACCGAATATAAAACATGTGCACGATTTAATTAAAAGAATACAATGATTTTGGTTTGCTTTCAAATTATGAATTATCATAATCATCCAAAATAAAAAAAATATCAAATAGCCAGTATGGCAGAATGGCAATACCTTCATATTATAATAATATCTCCCATTTGATCTATTTTAATCACTTGGTCTTATTAGTTGGTTTTTATAACGCTAGTTGTTTTTTTATTCAAGTAGCCTGTTTTTTTTTAAATATGCATGATCAGTATAATCTATGGTGCAAAAGTGTTTGCCTAAACATAGATACGTCCTCTATGCGGATAAGACAGCAGTTCGACGTGGCTAAAGAGAGGTCATGTGTAGGGCCAATAGCATTATGTGCTTTTCCTGGGGTAATAAATCAGTAAATATAAATAAAGCAAAACAATATTCATAATCTGTTTATTTAATTCCATTAATAATATGCAAATTCGTTATAACTTGGAAGAGTGAGATAGTGAGGGGTCAATTGCCTAGAATTATTATCGTAACTGTTTGGTTTCTGGTAGTATTCGTATTCGAAATCTGTTGGAGTTGTTTTATATTTATACTTCGCTTCTCTTGGTTCTGGTTCAGTGATGCCAGTGTCTGTACTTGATATATTTTTGAAGAATTTTTTGTGCTTCTCCAACCAGTTCAGTACCTGTAAACAATAATAAAAGTGTGTATTAAATAACAGAATAGAGTGATTTTCAGATAACAAAGAATATCATTACATATCCACCGTTTACCAAGCTACTGCGCCAGTATTCAGTAATGTGGTAAGTATAACATCAAGTTAGTATAACATCAACGTGTCACTTTTTAAATCCCAATTTAGAAAATCCCCGTACAGTCTGCTCACGCTTAGAAGTACAACGGTGACTGTCAGACTCTTACTGTCTTAAAACCATCCCGATCTTCTATACATGGATCCGGGTGTGGGAACCAAATTCTTCTCTACCTTCTCCTTGCCCCGAGTTAAACAGAAAAGTAATGTAACTTACATACATAATATATTTAATACAAATATACTCACAAATTCGTGACGGCTCGGCGATATCTCCGAATGAGTGTTCATTGCGTATCCACAATATAATCGCAGAGTAATTCAACGAGAAATGATAAAATATTTGACGACACCTCGATATTTATATGACCTATATTAACTTGTTTACTTGTACCACACATTAACTTAGTAAAATGTATATATTGTTTAGTAAAAGAAAATAATTCTTTTATTGATGTCCTGTTATTTATTAGAAGTACATTATAGTTTTTTTAAGTCATTAGTCAATGAACATCCTTTGTTAGCTAAATAGGTTCTTTAGGTTAATTTCACACACACTGTTTAGTTTGTCCTTTGTGCAGCAAAGGGACAGTTATTAACAATTGAAGTTCTCACGCAGATAAAGATGAGCTTAATCACCACATTTGCTCAAGGTCAATTGACGATTTCAAAGTAAATATATTCTTAAATATTTTGCTTATTTCTTTCTATTTTTCTGACCACTGACATAATTTTATTATGGTGAATAACTAAATAATAAATAAATGTTTATTTCTCAAACCACTTAATACTAGTTTACAAAGTTTAAAACTCGTCAACAATATTATTATAACGGTTTAGCATCTGTAGCCGAACTAGACTGAGCCTGTATTTCGGCTATCAGCGCCTTTTTCGCGCGAGCTATTCCAGGTAAAGGTATTATCATCAAGTCTAAGTACAAGGTATGATCGGTTATGCTATCCATGAATGAAAACAACTTGTGGCGAGAAATTAAAACTTAGACGGCGAATGACAATGGTAAAACAACCAGCTTCATTCATGTGTTTTCTTGCAATGCATCAATACATTAATTGTGCGTTAGGATATAATATCACTATTAGATTATAAGCGGCTTTAACAAAAGTGGGACTTGCTATTTTCTTGATGCTTGGCAGATGAGAAAGAAATAGTGATACAAGGCTGCTATGCAATGTGACGCGATTTCGATTTCCGCACAGAACAACATTTTTATGTGATTCACAAATTGTTGTTTCGGGTCTGGTTGGCTTGTGTATGTGGATTTGTATGTTTGTACACCCATAAAACATGGCAAAATCTTATTCAGCATGAACCGTGGGTAGTATTTACTTACGATTTCAAATTATTAATTTTAGAAATAAAACAACCAAAGAATCATGACAATTTAAAAAACGATGACGAGGTTCGAAATTAGTTAGTTATAAATCGTATAGTACTTATCGACAAAAATACTGAAAATAATTTCAAAGACCAACTTCTTTTCTGGGAATTACTATTAATAAAATTACAACAGGAGCCTCAAATAAAGGAGTCGCTCGCAGTCGATGATCTGTCGCTGCTTGTGTTGTTAAACAAATGGTTGGCAGTGGAGAGTCACAGGATGCGGTGGTGTCCTTCTGTGAAGATACTTTGTTGCAGAAGGAGGCTGCGGAAAGGAAGGGAAATCACAGAACGGACGGAGGACTTGGGGGAGACTCCGTCGTCCCGTTTAATAGGACCCGAAACGGTGGCGCGCACCACGATGCGAGTCACGGGGGAGATTCACACCTCGCTTCCGTGGGCATCTTGAGGTGGGGCCTATGGAGATAGGCCGTCACGAGTGGGTCTGTAAATGAATTTTTATTTTTGCGCCCTCACGCCCACGTGAGAGACATGATATCAAGGTTGTTTTTACTCAGTAAAAGTCTGACAGTCCCCTTCATCTCCCCAGGCGAAGAGGATTCGTGAGGATTTTACAGCTTGCAGCAAAAAAAAGAAGCGCCAAATACTAGTCTATCAAGATAATGAAGCTTTGCAGCGTATGCTTTCCGAGACAGCTAACATATGAAGAAACAGCAAGACTATAAAGTTTTTTTCAACTACTTTCATAGCATTACGTCGTATGACATTTTGTTATGGGGAAAGGGTGCTAACTCTTCCAGCTGCTGCTTTATCTTACTAAAAGGAAAGATGTTTAAAAATTGGTCGTCGCGAGTCTCTTAAGAGAAAGCTTAAAGACCCAAAGGACAAACTTCTTTTTACTAACACTTTTTTCTTAATTTTTTAAGGTTTTCTTATGAAGGTAATGTTAAAGCAAATGGACTAATAATAGGGTGAAATAAAAAAATGTGTTTATAATTATGAACAATTTATTCATCGTTGAGGTGGTATTGAAAAATTTGCTGGCATAGTGATCGGTACCATGACGTTTACGTAAAAAATATCTTTGCGTAATTTGGATCCTAGTTTATATGGGCGCGATGCTTCATACCGAACGGGCTCTGCTTCCCGATGAATTGACGGTGTAGATTCGTAATATGATGGCGGTGGTTCATAATACGGCAGCTGGGGTCCATCATATGGCGGTGGTGGGCCATCGAATGACGGCGCCGGTCCGGAATATGGCGGCGGCGTTTCATATGGCAAGAGTCCTCTTCCGTACTGCGCAAGTGTTGCCTGATGTCCGTCCATGTCTCGTAGTGGATTACCGTTGATGGTGGCTTCAAGGTGTACGCATCCCTGTAAGTACAAAATACAGACGATTAAACTATTTGTTATATCTTAGTGCTTAATCTAAATAACTGACTGACTGATTTGAATATTACATAATTAAAGAA